GAAATTGTCTTGAAAATGACCAAACCAGCCTTGCAAATGATGTTTTTAACACATTGGTTGGATTTGATATGAACCTCTGACTTGGTTTCTTAAATCTAAGACTAAAAAGAGAAAAAAAAAATTAAATGATGCCTTTTGTTGGCTTATTTTCTTCCGTGCAGTCTTGCCAGTTTCATCATAAATTCTTTTTCCCTATTCTTTGTGTTTCTTAGCTTAGGAAAGTAACCTGAGAGTCCGCAGTTCCAGTACAAAGGATTTGTCTTTCCCACTTGGGCATTTTTTCGCCAAGGAAATTCATGTAGTTTCCAGCAGAAAAACACAGCATAGGACAGTCTTCGAAAGATAAAACCCTGCAGTGAGAGAAGCATGAAAATCTCCAGCAGTCCTCAGACTATGCAGACTAATTAGAATAGTGAAATGGCCCACATGGTCAGAGATGCAAAGAATTCTAAGGGTTGATGTGGTCACTACTCTCTGTAGGGTTTGTAGGAACACCAAATGCCAGGCCTCCGTCAGCACTGTATTTACACTGCATGGATTACTACGCTTGAGTGCAGCATAGTTTTCCTGTTCTAAAGCTTGTTCCACACATGTGTGTCTGAGCTCTTGTCTGGAGAGATGATAGGTCTTGCCTCTTACAATCACAGGTAGGCAATACCCAGCCCTAAAATGAGGAAAGGTAGCTTTGTCCACAGGTTAATAAAAGTCAAAGTGGGGACTCTGGGCTGCATTAGTGCTATGGGTGTTATTGATAATGTTTTTTACATGCTTTACTTGGCAAAACTGAAAGCTTAAAGACAGATTTGGTTCTGGGACAGCTGACTCACACTCTTAAGTTGGCCTTACAAAGTGTTTACCACCATGGAAAAATCAATATCAATTGTCCCATCATACTTCCTGCCAGACCGGAGAGCCCAGGTCTCCATTAGGTGGCTGTGTGGACACATTAAAGAACTGATACTGAGAGTCTCTTCTAGTGTACGGGTTTGTTTTCTTATCTGCCAGTAGAATGGGTTGAAGCAGTCTCCAAAGCTACCTCTAGTTCTATGATCTTTGACTGTGAGGCTTATTTATACCTGGAGGGACCCCACAGGGGCACCTGGAAATCACCCACAGCCCATGTTTCCCTGGAAGCCTTCTCTTCTTGGACTCTTCCCTTGTCCAAGCATCCAGTACATGCTGTGATTCATTTTTCCTTTGCAACAGAATACAGCACTCCAAGGAGTTTACGGTCAGCTTCACTGTTAGCGTACCACTAGCAGGCAGTGCAAGGACTTTGAACGCATAGAACCTCCTTCTCTCAGTTCATGTGCTTGAAATTGCTGAAGCTGTCCTGAATACATCTGGAATCTTGAGTATAATTTTCATGCAGCTCCAAGAACCACTGTCATCTCCTGTGTCTTGGCCAGAAGTCCTGAACCATCGTTATGCCTTGGCAAGGTGATAGTGCCCTGGCTGCTGAAACAGACCCTCTGGGGAAACATGCTTGGAGCCACCTTCTCAGCCTGTGTCTCCACCAGTTCCCAGATCAGTGAGCTGTGTCTTGGAGCAGATGCATTTTTAGAGTGCTGAGGTCTGAGGCATGGGTCTAAGTCAGTTGCCCCTCTCTCCTGGACATGTTTTCATCACTTTACAGACCAGAGACAGGTTCAGAAGGACTGACCGACATGCAGGAGCATGAACAAATGGCAGAGCGTGTCCCTCACTCCAGACCAGCACCTCAATCGTTACCCCTCTCTTCCTCTAACACACATTTTCACCTTATTTCTGAAGTCTGTGGTATTCCACAGTGGCACAGGTTTGGTCCCGACTTCATGTGTTAACCCCATTTTGATTTCCTTGGGGAAGCTTTAGGCAAGAGTATTAGACCCATTACTTGACTCCACTGGACCCCAGTTTTTTGTCTTCAGTTGGGCAGTGCACCTGGCTTCTCTTTTCCTGCAGGAATGTTGTGCATAAATAGGAAATCATGAGTTGGATTTTCCCAAACCTGAATCGAAGAATCAGGCACTTTGTGTGCATTTACATTAACTCTTTCTAGCTTGTACCTGTCTATTAAATAAAGCTTTTATTGATTTGTTTATTTTCATATTCTTATGTTCACTGTGATAGAAAAGGTACATTTAAACTTTGACACACTTTTTCTAACTTCACTGTTTGAAACCCAGAAACCCTAAAATGTTTTTTCCACTTAGTAGAAGTAGAAATTGCAGGTTAGGAGTACTCATATTACCACTGGAAATGTCAGTAGAGAAAGAATTTTTAAAATTTTATATGCTGGGATTAAGACATGGCCACTACCCTAATGCAAGGTCAATAATAAATGATTATAGCAACATATTTGAAACTGAAGGGAAAGGCAAGGAATTTGGGAGGTGGTGGCACCAGAGCCAAGAAGTTCTTACAGTATTTGATTATACATTTCTAGCCTTTATTAACTTTATTACCTTGTCCATATTCAGGCTTGTGAAATATTTAATTAATACAGCAAATGCTGTGGATTTTGTGTTTCCCATTTCAAGCCAACTAGAGCTGGAAACACTGGAGTGAGGGATGTGTTAATGCAACTGAGTGTGTCTTTATAACAAAACACAATACATGTGTGCACCAGGTGAAACTCATTACAGCGATGGCACAGCAGACCTGTGGTTCTCACACGTGGTCTGCAGACCTATCTGCTCTGCCTCTGAAACCCCAACCAATGTGATCAGAATCTGCATGTTAATGCGGCCCACAGGTGATTCCATTGCTCACTGAGTGGGAGAAGCACTGGCTGTAGGCCTTACTCATATTCTGCCCCATTCGCCCCGTAAAGGACACTTTGCTCCCACGTCAAGTATGCCTAGGAAAACCGTCTAAGAAGCTCACCCTGCCCCAGTCCATCCTTGGCTAGCTGCGGTTAGACCTTACTGTTCACTGCACCTAAGATTATTTGACCCATATTGTCAGTTACACAGTTGGCAGCCTGTTTCACATGGCTTTCACAAAGTTGGTTCTTGCTTTGGTTTTACCCCAAGATAATTTGCATTCTCACAGTTCCTCGAGTTCTTGTTTTGCCCTTTTACAAATTAATGTTTGGGAGTGAAACAATTAACAAAGGGCAATAATTGTTTTGTTTTGTTTTGTTTTGTTTTTTTTGCTAGTATTAAAACCCACAAAAGGTAACGTTCAGTTTGATTTTTTTTATTGTAAGTAGGAAGTAATATAAAGAATATTTTTAGAGAGTTTTTTAAGAAATAATGTAACAGAATTAAACTATTGTTAATTAGATATTTTTATCCTGAAAATCTTTTCATCATTCTCAATTCATCTAATGAATTTCAGTTGTCTTAGTGATAATTTAACACTGGCAAATCCTGCTGGTTAAAGTCCTTGGGAATACGTTGACTTTTTTTTTAAATCTCAGGTTTTCTAATAAGCTCAGAAAAGCAGATTTAGTTAATCGGCAGCCATGGCACTGCACTTGGCAGATGCACCTGCCTGAACTCAATCTGAGATGTGCTGTCTCAGAACAAAACAAACCGCTACCACCTAGTGCATCCTGGGAAGTGAAGATGAGCTCACGGACCACTTCTCTCTTCAAGCCCAGGGCCTCCATGAGTTTCTGCACTGCTGCAGTCACATTCTGCATGGGATGGCGCAGTCGTACTGGACTTCACCATGGGAGGACGCTAAGGATAAGGAGACTTTGAAGATACCAGACAGAAAGGGACCCTTTCATTGAAAACCTATGAGACAGAAACATCACCCGCTCCTGCAAAGGCATCTTTGGAGGAACACCATCCCCTGCAGCCTTTGGGTGCCCACTTTTGGAGAGCAAGTGGAAGGGAAAAGCATCTTGGCATTTCAGTCCTCCACACAATGCAGTAAGGCCAGGGATGAGCTCATTACTCAGGAACCGTTAGCAACCAGGGAAGCTAGACTCTTCGGAGGCCAGGGGTAACTGTTCCCCCCCAGTCTGACGACCAGCATGAGAAGGATAAGGCAAGCAGGAAAGGTTTTCTGCAACTCTTAGAAAGGAGATACAATCAGAAGAGAGAAGAGATAGATGTCCCAGCTAGAAAGCAGGAACCAAACACTGGAATGAAATGAGGCCCAAAGCCCTACTCAGAGCTGCCCACCCTCCAGGGGTCAGTAGTACACAAATATGGCTGTGAGTGGTGGGAGGTGGGCCAAACAGTCTTTTGAAGAGCAGTTGTATCCTAAATTCCTGTCTCCTCCACAGGCAGCACAATTGCAAACTATAGCAAGTATAGCACTGTAGCAAACTGTTGGAGTAATTTGCTAGTTTACTAGTTGAGAACTTGGCTTCTGGCCAGTCCTACCTGAGTTGGAAGTCCAGCTCTTTCCTCACCAGCTATGGGCCTTCTCCATGTTACAAGCCTCTCTGCATCTGTACGTCTTCATCTGTCCATTGATGATGACAGTGATGGTGATCATGCATGGCAGTCTTAGCAGTGGGAAGAATCACTCTGCACAATGCCAGCACTACACATGACATATTATAAGGGCATACTCAGTAAATGTAAAATTTCCTTTCGTAACTGGAACCTAATCTTTTTCTTTTTAATTTTATTTTTCTCTTTTTCTTTTAAAAAAAGAATCATTTATTTCTTTGTTATTCAGACTTGTAGTGATCCTCCTATCTCAGCCTTCCCATGGCTGGGATTACAGGCTTACACTGCCGTGCCCAAGAATGTGATCTTTTTCAAAAGAATAATTTGAGGCTTTGTCCAACTTTGAAAGAACAAAGTGAAGTTACTGTGATGATAATTTTAGATATTAACCTACTTGTAAGAACATTAGAGTCATGATACTTAGCCAAGCTGTTGTCATTTTATTTGAAAGTCTTGCATTTTAAGATGTGATAAATATAAAATACTGACTACTTATCAGTCTATTCCAAGCAAACTTCTTGCTGTGACTACAGATGATCTGTGAATTGGGAAGTACACCTTTAATCAGCTCTCTTCCCTCCTCCTTTCACCCCGCCCGGGAAGAATTCTCTGACCAGGAGCGCACCCCTTCCCAATGACTCCCAGGCTCGCAGTGGGGCTCGTTTTCATACTTCCTATGACAAGCGGTACGTCATCAAGACCATCACCGGTGAAGACGTGGCTGAAATGCACAACATCCTGAAGAAGTACCACCAGGTAACTATCTTGCGGGTCTCAGCTTCATATTCCTGCCTCATTACTATCCAGGCCAAAGACTACATGGCTACCATAATTACAGAATGACGGGAACACACAGTTAGACATAAAATTCTCCTCTGGCCCATGCTCTGAGGTGGGTTGTGGCCAGGACACTGAAAATTACCTGGACATTTGTTAATAATTGGACAATTATTAATAATTGTTAATAATTCTTTTCATGTTAGTACACTTCTATGCAATAGTTTCAGTGATCACCATTTTACCCAAAAAATCTCTCAGCTTAAGATTTAGCAGCTTTCTAGAAGGTTCTGTCTGTGCTGCCAGAAGTGATGTGTTGACCTCTGAACCTTTATTCTTGGACACCCCGAAATCCCACTCTGCTTTCTCTGGCCTCAGAAAAGCCCACTCTTGGTCCCATTCTCACAGGGAGAAAATTATCTGACTTCAAAAGGTATGTTCATCTGCTTGCATCTTTTCATCCCTAATGGCATTATTCCTTTGTAGTTGCCTGGGAATACAATAACCTGCCCTCAGGAGCAGCAGCCTCTCATGGAATAAATTGCAGCATAGGTTTGTATAATGGATCAGGTGCTCACAGGTCTTAGCTCAGTCTGTAAGAGGCTTCTAGCGCTGTGGACTAGGAAGAGCACAACGTCCAGAAGCAGATAGTCCTCAGTTCAAATTTGAGCCCTGTCCACTAGTAATCATGTGACTTCCAGACTAGATTTCCATTTCTTCATTTATGTAACAAGGATATTAACTCTTATCCCATCACCTGTGGAGACCTGAGAATCAAGGAGGAATGTGTTTGTTGAGTATTTAGCACAGTATCTGCCACACACTAGAAACTATATGGTAGAGGTGGCAGCATTATCATCATCAAAATAATGTCTGTCAGGTCACAATCACTAATAACAAGGTCATTTTGAGAAATGACAACCTTAGGGCATGAATGTAACTATATTGGCAGGAATCATCCATGGAACTGAGATTTGAAACACACTGGTGCTTTTAGAGCTCTAGTTGTCATAGCACAACAGTGTTGAACAAACAACAAAAATTTACTTCTTCGTGTTCTGGATGCTGGAAATTTGAAATCCAGGTGCCAGCATGGCTGGGTTCTGGTATGGTCCCTCCCTGGCTTGCAAGAAGGGCCCTCACGTGGGAGAGAGGGAAAGCAAAAGCTATCACTGCCTCTTCTATGAGTTCTCATCCCATCACAAGGTCTCCATCCTTGTGACTTGTTTGCCTCCCAAAGGTGATGAGGGCTTCCACATAATGAAGTTTCAGTGACAGTCTGGGGCAGTTACCTAGTAGTTCCAGATTCCTCTTACAGTGAAGATTGGCTGTCACAGAACATATTCAAAATAAACAGTCCTGACCACATTAATAAGAGGCTTACCAGCAGGTTGTATGCAGTCACGTTTATTAGGCATCAGCCTCTGAGAGTGTTCGATTTTGAAGGTGGTGCCCATTTGACTTTCTGAGCTCTGAGACTTCTGTTTAAATGAATTATTTTTGGTCGTGCTTTCTGCTGTAATGTCACAAATTATTTCTTGACAGTTGGTATTCTTCCTATCTTTACAAATACAATCCATTAGTTGCGTTTTGCTGGCGCTGCAGTCTGTGAAAACCTTTGAACTCCATTCTGTTTCTGGAAACTTGGTCCTACTTCTCATTTGTTTTCTAAAAGTATTAGTCACACTATACTCATTTAACATTTAATCAGCCCTTTATAGCATCTGCTGCTTTTGAAATTGTTTTCCAGCATGCGTGCTGTTGCCTTTCCAAAGGCCATTTTAAAGTGCACAGATGGTACCTGTGAAGGTGAGGACAGTCAGGCATTGGTTTCTGATGAACTGAATTGCAAGTTGCAGCTTCTAACTCTTCACCTGCTCCTTTTTCATTTTCTTGCTTTCCCTCCTGCAAGCTGTTGTCATATTCATGTGTTCTTTTTAGACTTCCTTTCAGTTGTCTGAGAACATTCAAAGCAAAGTAATACCTCATGATACATGAGAACATAGTATTGTGATAAATGGCTATGATACCATTCTAATAAAATCTGACACACAATTCAGGTATCACATTCTTGAGGACAATTTTGAGTGCATAATCCTTTAACTTCATAGAAATCAGTTTGAAGTCTTTTCTCTGGGACAGTTACTATGCCGTAAGATCCTGATTGGGGACACCCTGATTTTGCATAGAATATGCTGGAGAGCAGAATGAGCTAGTAAAGTACTGCAGGAACTTTTAAATGCTGCAGTCCCTTTTGCTCCACTATGACAAAACTGTTTGGGCTTTTTGTACATACCGTATTCAGCTAACTTCCAGTTAGCCAACATCTGTACTTTTCTTCTAAGAAGCAGAGTGTTTTTTTAAAAAAAAAATATGAAGTATCTTAATGATTTCACAATGATTAATACAACTTATTTAAAGAACACTAAGTTGAAATCAGGAGACGTAGATCTTAGCACAGCAATGATGACCCTCTTAGAGGTTTCAATGATAATAAGCAACCAGCTGTAGCACATTTGCTGCAGGTTCACCACCACTGCCCTAGCTTGTTATGAGGTGGGTGCTTAGCCAGTCCCTGAACTCTGCTTACACATAAAGACTCTATTCAAATATTTTTTCTTGTCCTTATTCTAGAAAAAATTTAAGGTAGCCTTAAAGGAAATTGAGAATAGAAAAATACAAATGCTTTTAAAAGGAAGTTGGAAACAGGAAAGGGGAAAGGCACAGATTGGAGCCCAGAAGGAGCCTAGCACTTCATGATGAACCTTAGCTTGATTGCTGCTTTTAGGGCTATTCATTTTCCCTAAGCTTCTGGCAGGCAGAATGGAAAGGACAACAAGCAGTCAGCTGCACAGCTACTGTGCCTGAAGGTACAGCAAATGTGAGGAAGAGATACCACTGTCCTTGATATAAGGCCACGTAGGTTGTCTTTAAGAGGACACAGGACTTTTAACCCTTTGTACAGTAGCTTTATCACAAGCTGTGGGGCACAGAAGAGCGCCGTACAGCTTTTTAAAAAATAATCAGTAATGCTGGTTGTGGCTCTGAGAGGCTGAGGTAGGATTGCAACTTCAAACGCAGCCTGAGAAATCTAGCCAGGCTCTTATCTCAAAAAATATTTAAGTAAGAAAGGAATGGCAGGTGAAGATAGAGTTCAGTGCAGAGGTTCTGGGTATAATCATATATATATATATATATATATATATATATATATATATATTTTTTTTTTTTTTAAGTCATCAGTGTAGACCACTGGAACTCTGCCAACATATAACATACATTGAGCACACGCAGCCTTGCCGAGGAAGGAGATGAAGCTTGCTGGCCACCCGGCCTCTGCCAGCCTGCCTCCTGCTAACCACTCTCCTGCGGCCCTTCTCCTCACACAGGCTCCGGTGAAAGTCGCAGGGTGGCGAGTTCAGCCTTCAGGCCTCATGTGATTCTGTGCAGCCAGACCCAGGACTCCGTCTGCAGTCCTGGGATGCCCCTCTCTGCCAGGCTCTGTCACCCTCTCATTCTGAGACGCTCTGCAGCATTTGGGGTACAGCTATTAGGCTGTTATTCCTATTAAAAGTACATCTGGATTACTTTGAAGGTTTAGACTCACAAATTTTCTGTCTCTTGCTACAGTGGTGATTGTGAATTCTTCTAGTTCTTCTTGCTTTTTCTTGCTCTTACTTTCTAAATAGCTGCGTTTCTGAGCTGTCCCAAGTCTGGACAAGTAATTAGACCTGTTCAAATTACATGTCAATAAAAGAGCAAATGGACTTCCTGACAGTTTTAGGTACTCCATAGCCCTTTCTCTTTTGTTTCCCTTTGTTATTTTTTATTTTAAATGAAATATCTTCACACTTGCAGCTATATTCTGGAGGGTTAAAACTACCACGTGGCCAGCCTCTAGAGAGACCACTTTCTATTAGACTAAATTCTTGCTAGGCTTAGCTGACTGATACACACTACCCTTACCAGCAGTGCAGTGTGGCTGGTAATTCAGAGCAGGAGTTTAAAACCAGCCAGCTGCCTTCACCTCTCAGCTCTGCCCCTGACCGAGGCCATGACCTTCGGCAAGTTACCTGGCTGCTGGACACCTGCTTCTTGGTCTGTAACATTTGGATGAGAGCATTCTTTCAGCTGTTGTGCTAAATAGGTGAATTCACATTTATAACATCAGAATGCTACCTGGTATTGTGTGCTGTATAAGTGACCAAATAAGATAAAATACCATTCTCAAATTCAATTTCTTACACCCCATTTTTGGACTTATTCCAGTGTGGCATTCGGTCCCCTAGCGGACCTGGCTTCTGGTACCAAATGCAGCATGGCAGGAGGTGTAGGGGCTTTCTCAGTCCCAGAGCTTGGCTGTATTCTTTATTTGTTGCCCTGGTCCTGCTCCATCCCACTGTATGCTTAGAAAGGAAAGTATTACTAATCAGACCAATGGAAATTTCAAATTAAGCATTACAAACTCTGTAAATATCTTGTACTTCATTTGATTTTTCTCTTTCTTATAGTTTGGAAAATAACTCAAGTATTTTGATATCAGTATTCTTTTCTTCAAAGTCAGACTATAACAGACTCCATCTTGTAAATAATGATTATCAGCTGATTAGCTAATCAACATCAAAAGATATTCAGTTGTTGTTTTTTGTTTTTTTTTTTTTTTTTTTCCTTGGTACTGAGGATTGAACTCAGGGCCGTGCTCTTGCCAGGCAGGCGCTTAATTTACTAAGCTGTCTCCCTGGCTTAGAAGACATTCAAAAAGGAAAAACGTGGCCATGAGTCCATTTCTGAGTTGCCTGTTTGGGTTTGGTTTGGTTTCTTTCATTGGCCTCAATTCTTTGGGGTATCACATAGCTTTAGCTTTAATTAAAATTAAAAGGCAAATGTTTCACAGCCTTTCAGTAAGATTAAGTATAAAACTTAGGCAGTGTTAGTAAAATTTAAGAAGTTTTATAGAATTTACAGTGTAACTTCAAAGG